CGGGTGGGGCTCCCCGCTTCCATTGATCTCCCTCCCCCCCTTCCTCCCGGAACTCACACCCGCTGGGGAAACCGAGGCACAGCGGGATCCACCGGGCAGCTCCATCCCACCCCTCCGCGCCGTCCTACCCCTTCCCGGGCCCGGGCCGTGTCCCCCCCAGCCCCCAGCTCTCAAGAAAGGCCAACAATGGTGCGGTTACAAACAGCGGGAATTTTATTTAAAAAAAACAACCGTCACAACCATTCACAGCGTTACAGGCGGGGAGGGGGGGCGGGGGCGCGTTAAACAACCGGTTTCATTTTGGGGGAGGGGGGAAGAAAGAATTCACGCTACCGTTTAACTTGGTTTTAATGTTTCTCCACAAACGGTGAAAAATACTAAAGTACAGACAAGGAGGACTCATAATGTTGTGGCCAACATTATAAATATGGAATTATAAATTTAAAACATTTTTTTTCTGGTTTAAAAAATAAATCTGGTAGTAAATGCGGCTCTGGGGGGGCGGCGTTAGTAGGGCCGGTCTCGGCGATCCTGGCGGTGTTCGCCCCTGTGGGCCGAAGGGRGAACAGGGGTCAGTATTGTGTCCAGGAGCCCACCCTGGGCTGGGCGGGGTCCTTAACCCCTCACCCAACCACCCCGCCACCCATTTGCCACCCTCCACCCCCTCACGCCCTAGCCCCTCCATCCATTTGTCCCACCTCGGTCGCCTCCCGCCCCTTTCCCCATCAGTGTCTCCCCTCCCCACTGTCCCCTTGTCCCCTCCCATCGCTCTCCACCCCGCCCTCCGTCCGTACTTGTCCATCTTTCCCGGCCCTCCGCGTCGTCCTCTGCCTCCTCCTCCCATCTGCTCCATGAGGGGTCCCGGGGGTCCCCCGGGGCCGCCTCCTCCTCCTCCTCCTCTCCGGCCGCCTCCTCCGTAGCCGCCTCGGTCCATGCCCCGACCACCTCGGAATCCCCCTCGGTCTCCGCCGCGGCCACCTCGGAACATCCCTCCGGGCCCCCCTCGGTCCATGAGGCCCCCGCCGCGCCCGCCTCGCATTCCCCCGGGACCACCTCGGCCACGGTCACCGCCTGCGGGGGGAGCAAAGACTTCAGAGAGACCCAAGGGAGCACATCCCGCCCCAGTGTCTCCTCCCCCGTGATCCCAGGACATCCAGCTGTGGCAGCAGCAGTGGGAGAAGGTCTGGGAGCTGCTGGGTACCCCCCGGAGGATTCGGGGTTCATTAGGGTTGGAGCAGTGCCATGGGGAGCAGGGGTGCTGCTGCAGTCCCCCCAAATCYAGGGAGTACAGGGGAAATGGTGATGCCAGCCTCCATGTCATGGCTGATGGAGGGATGGAAGCCTGGCAGCTCCTGGAGTTGGCCCAGCCCTTCACTCCCCAAGGAATGACACCTAGGCCTGGGAAGCAGGGCTGTGACTCCCCCCAGCCGTACCTGGAGGAGGGAAGGGGGGCGGGAGGAACCCCTCGGGTTTGGGCGCCTTGCACTGGTTGCACTCCGTTCTCCAGGCGAAGTTCTGGTTTCCACAGCCCCTGGGTACAAATTCCAGTTAGCCCAGAGCGGGACAGCATTCCAGCCAGGGTGACATTGGGAAGCATGAGCAGGAAAGCACGCAGAAAGCAGACTCAAGAGCAGGAGCTGAGGCACAGCTCCTGCAGTGGGGTGGGGCTCTAGCTGCTCCCGGCCCTCAGGGGTGACCCCATCCCTCCCTCTGTGCCAGGGGAAGGTGCTTCCTGGGAAGATCCAGCAAATTATTTTGGGAAAGGCCTGCTTGTTGTGGCCAGCTCGTGGGATGAGGGGGCYGTGGGTACTCACGGGTTGGGGCACTGCCAGTCGCCGGCACGGTGCTGGACGCTCCCTCCGGATGGGTTTCCCCGGGATCCCCGCGGTCCTCTCGAGGAGAAGCCTCCCCTGTCKCCACCTCTTCCCCCCATCCGGCCCATGGGGCCGCTGGGTCCACTGGGTCCCCCTGGGCCACCAGGTCCCCCTGGACCTGCGRGAAGGAGCCCAGTTAGTGCTGGGAGCTGTGAGCAGGATTGGGGGGACAGGGGTAGCTCTGGGGGGGCCACATGGTACCTCCACGGAGCGGGGGYGGCATTCCCCGCTGCTCCCGGGGGGGCATCCCGCCCCTCAGGCTGTTCATGGGGCCCTTCTTCCGTGCCAGGGTCACCTTCAGCTTGCTGCCCTGGAAATCCTTCCCTGTGAGGGACAACAGCAGGAGCATCAGTGATTCAGCCCTGCTTCCCACACCTGGAATTTCTGGGATTCCATCCCAGAACAGCCCCCAGCGCTCACCATCGAACCACTCCACGGCGGTTTTGGCAGTGGACGGGTCATCGTAGGACACGGTGGCGTCGCCCTTGGGCTTGCCCGTTTCTTTGTCGATGTAGAGGTTGATCATGGGCTGCCCCGTCCTCTTGTTCATCTAAGGGACAGTGCAATGTCACCCGAGCTCTGTATCTCCACAAGCCACAAGTGGGAATTCTCTCTCTGTTCTGCTTTCTGGATAATCAAGGCCCATCCTGGGATCTCCAGGACAAAAGGAAGGGGCCTAATGGGTGACAGCAACTGCCCTGACACCCCAAAATTGAAGGAACACCCCAAAACAGCACTGYCAGGCCTCTCCCAGAGCCTGGACATGATGGGCTGGAAGGATGTGAGCAATGGGCAGGGAGGAGAAGGAGGAAGAGGAGGAGGTGGGTGATCCTTTCCCCCTGCCAGCTGGGGGTCACTGGTGTCCCCTCACCTTGACGACACCGCACTGTTTGAAGAAATCTGCCAGGTCCTCCAGGGTCACATTATCATTGAGTCCCTGCACATAGACTGCAGTGCTGTCCGAGTCGTCCTCCGGGTCCATGGGGGGGCCTAGGAGACAATTCCCAGGTCAGAGGAAGGGCAGGGATACCCCAGAGCCCAGTCTTTTCCATCCCGTCATCCCCTCGGCAGCTGCAGCTCCGTTCTCTGGGAGTGACAGGAAACCCCAGGCCCAAGGGAGGTGACTGTCCCCCCTCATGTCCTGTGTCACAGCCAAAGGGACCCCACGTCCACCCACGTTGGAAGGACCCCCAGGTTATATCAGGACACATCCCAGAGGAGAGATGAGGAAATCCTCAGTGCCCCCTGGGCTCCCACACAAGGACCTTTTCCACCCCCCTTTTCCGATGCTGGAAGGCTGAYGCAGAATTTCCAGACACGCCTGCGTGACAGGAAAGGACGAGCCGCAGATGAGGCTCCCTGGAAATGCTTCAGAGCAGCCCCCAAGCCCCCTAATTCCTGCAGAGAAGGGGGAGCATCTCCCAGCCATGTGTGATTTTCCACAGGCCAGCTTTTTGGGAATGAAGAAATGATGGAAAACAGCCAGAAYGCCTGAAGTGGCAGTGGGGTGATGYTGCRGTGGCCGCARCTCTCAGGATGRGGACTCAAGTGTCCGTTTCACGACCTCAGGAGGGAGTTTGGTGGGAATTACCTAAATCCAGGTCAGGTCCTTCCTCCATGTGTCCTGCCAGGCGGGAGAGAAGCACAGGGAAGGGTGTTAGTGGGGGCGCTRCGGGCTGGAGAACCGACACACACAACACTAGCTACGACCTGCGCCGCACAAGCAGCGGCGCTGCACCTTACTGGGCCATCAGGTGGCTCTTTTAGCATTTCTTCCAACCAAAAACCACTATTGCACTGGTTTTAAGCATTTTTTCCAACCAATAACCACTATTACACTGATTTTTTAGCAGCTTTCAAACCGTTAACCACTATWACACTGATTTTTTTTTAGCAGGCTTCAAACCGTTAACCGTTGTTAACGCTGATTTTTTAAAAGGTTTTACCAAGCCAATCGGTTTTTTAAGTTCATTAATAAAAGTTACTTAATATATATATTAAAAAACAACAAAAAAAAGGTTTATTACAGCCAAACCATTTCTTTTCCCCAAAATTACAGGAGTGGTTGCTCAACTCTTCCACTGTGTCCGCATACCCCTGGGCATCGCCGGCAGTACCCATTACAGTCTGGTTGCATATTGGCATTTTTAAACCACTTAAAATGAATAAAAAATTACACTTTGTGCTAAAAAAGAAAACTGACTGCAATTTTTTTTCAGTTTTTTTTTTTTTTTAAACACTATCCATTGTAATGCTCAAAAACTTACCACCAGGCTTATTGAAGCCACCTCGCTCTCCAGCGCTGCTGGGGGGATAAACGAAGAAATGAAGGCCTTTCCCTTTACAAAGCCAGCACCGCTCTGAGCCTCTGCGGCTCACAGGGGAGAAGGGCACTGGCTAAACATCTCCAAACATCTCTCTGTCTCTCTCTCATCTCGGCACTAGGCCTTTCTTCAGGGCAGCTCGCTCAAATTTTCTTTACATATAAAGCAACCTTGGTGTGGTTTGAGGCACCGCTTTGCTGTCGGTGCCCTGGTGTTACTGGGGGTATCATCAGTGCAATACTTGGCCAAGAAATGSGGGTTGTGTTGGAAATCAAAGCGTTTTGTTTTGTTTTTTTTTTTGTTGTTGTTATTGTAAGAGCAATTTAGGGGTTGTTTCAGTGGTCAACTCCCTCCCCTCGGTGTGTCCACCAAGGTGCACCCTCAGCCTGTGGCAGYGCCGGGCCCGCGGATCCCTGACATTTAACAGTGTAAAAGGAGACAAACCACACGCGAGACCTACAACACAGTTCAGCTGACATCGCCCCTAAAACCCTCAAAAGAAAAAAAGCCATACATTCAGGTCACTACTGAATTTTAACAACTCTCTGGAGGGAGAACTTACAGAGTACAGCGGGGGCTCCAAGGCCTGGGGTGCAGCTTTGTGGACACACTCACTTTTGGGCAGGTGCCAATRCAAACAGGGCCGCAGCTTTCACCAAAAGCTTTGGCTGAAGCTTTTGCAGCTAAAACTGCTTTGGAGCGTGGTGGTTAAGTAGGAAAATGCCACCTTGAGAAAAGATTTGGGCTGTTTCTTGCTCTTTTTTTGGGTGAGCCAGCAAGCTGTTTGGAAGGAGCCAAGTGGAGGAGGGAGAGCACCGTGAATTTTTCTAGCAAGTATTGCACCTCTAATACTGGAAAAAAAAAAGTCAATACAGAATTTCGAGCTGTTGCATGCAGCTTTGCCTCCTCTCGTTAAAGTACACACCATTTACGTAACGTCTCTCTTTTTAAACATTAGATTTTTTTTTTTTTACACTTTTTTTTTTTTCTTTAACGTTACACAATTCTAAAGTAGTAGTATACCCTCCTCTGGTTTTATTACCAAACAACAAGTATGCAGTTACCAAAGTTACAGAAGGATTCCGTTTATACAATCAATACATTGGGTTAAAAATATTCTATGTATATTTTTCCTCTCCATATGGACACCGTGTCTAGTCCCACTTTTCATTATGCTGCCGGCTGAGTACTGAGTACGGGTACTTTTTAAGTATTGAGGTGTTTACAAGGCTCTCACTTTGTAACCTGTAGCATATAAATGCGACAAAGCATGTTAAAAAGTTTTTCCATTTTCATAAAAATATCAAATCATCGAGGCAATGAAAAAGGGCACGTTAATAACATCGAGCTCCTTACCTGCTGGAGACACTGAAATCCATCACCACAGCATGCTAAAGGTGGGCCGAGTTCCCCTACCTGCCCTGGGTGTCCCCTGATGCCACCTGTTCTATGGACAGCACAAACTCTAMGTCCATAAGGCAGGGGGGACCCTTTGTAAGGGTCTGGCCAGGTGGGAAATCGCTCGGGATGCAAATTTGAGCTGGGGTTAAGGTGTGAGATCAGAGACAGGTGACAAATCTTTGGCAATGAGAAGCTTGGAAGGGGCTAGAAATTTGAAGATGTGATGATAGACATTTCAGGTGTCTACATCTACTTTAAATCGTTAAAAGATCAATACAGCACGGCTGAAATCTTTATGCAGATCCCTGGAACTCCATTCTGCTCGAGCCAATTCCAAACTGGACGTGTTCCCACACAAAGCCAGCCTTTTCCAGGTCTTTCTTGGATTTCTCTGATAAAGATTTCATGCCGTGGCAATGGGCTGCGCCAGAGCTATGCAGAATGGGGCCAAACCGGGGTTGTCACCGGGCTGTGCCACACGGGAAGAGGTGGCCTCTGGAGGGCAGCTGCCAGCACAGCCACCTTTGCCAGCCCCAGGGCGGGCACAGCGTGTCCCATGTCACGCCTGGGGACACTCTGCACAGCTCTGAGCAAGGGGTGAGGGGATGGAACACACACAAAGCTGGCAATTCCYTCTCGGAGGAGCCTCTGGCATTGGTTCTCCTCCCTCACCTCTATCGGAACCACCTCCACGGATGGGGACGCACCTGAAGGCACAGGTGGCACCCAACCAGGTCGTGCCATCAGGTGAAATGGCCAAGCTGATTCAGAGCACCTGAATGCTCCGAGGGGGAGCAGGCCTGGGAGCCAGAGCACTTCCTTCTCTCAGTTCTCGGGCTCCTTCTCCGTGTGCTCCAAGCGTTCGGGGCACTCTGAGCTCACAGGATCTGTAGGAGGGGCCAACACAAGGCTCCAGCCCTGCCCAAATCCCCGCCCCTGGAGCTGGCGGGAGGTTTGTGTGTGTTCCACCCAGAGTTACTGTTAAACCCCACAGAGGATTCCACCTCTGCGCCACCACGAAGGGAGCTGAAAGTGCCAGGGTCAGCGTTACCCCCAGATTCCCCCTCCCCGGGGAGCCCAACCAGCTGCAGGAAAAACCAACCATCCTGCTCCTATTTCCCTTAGGATAATGTTTCCACGGATGACAAGCAATGCTGTAGGCAGAGATGTCCTCCGTGGAAACACGGCTGGGAATGTCAACCTTTCAGTCCCTTCTTTTGCGTTTCAAATCCTATGGGTAAACCAGGATTAGAGAAAAGGAAAAAAGCTTTGCTCTTACCCCATTCCACCGCGTCCTCCTCCCCGCCCACCTCTGCTCATGCCTCCACGTTCATATCCCCCTCGTCCCCTGCCCCGGCTATCGGGGCCGCTCAGATTGCGGCTCTCTCCCGGGCCGGAGAAGCCTCCGGATTCCTGCCCGTACATGTTCATGCTGCTGGGATGGTCCTGGCGGAAGGAGCCTGGGGAAGGGGGAACACATGTCAAGGAGATGCGCCCCTCCCCAGCCAAACAGCGGTGTTGGARTTGTTCAGGTTGGGAAAATCCCTCTGAGAGCATTGATTCCAGCCCTTCCCCCAGCCAAGGCCACCGATGTCCCTGAGTGCCACATCCACATGGCTCTTACATCTCTATAGGGATGGGGATGCCATCATGGGCCTGACCAACGTGGTGGAATTGTCCCAACATCAACCTGAGCCTCCCCTGGCCCAGGCTGAAGCTGTTCCCTCTCCTCCTGTCCCGACCCCCCCGGCTGTCCCCTCCTGTCAGGGAGTTGTGCAGAGCCACAAGGTCCCCCCAGAGCCTCCTTTGCTCCAGGCTGAGCCCCCCCCCAACTCCTTCTCACAAGTATTTCATGCCTCTGTGTCCCCTCCCTCCTGAGGGGATCATCCCAACCTGACACCAACTCCAGAGAAGCCATTTTTCCACAAGAAAGTGGCCAAACCGCAGCTCCAACCCTCTCTCCCTTCAACACAACTCTGAGTTTTAGACCCAAACTAACTCCAGAACTCTTTCCCACTCACTCTGCTGGCCGTAGCTGCTGCTCTGCTGGCTGTACTGGCTGGGGGCCTGGCTGTAGGATCCGGTGGGAGGTGGGTAACTGGTGGGAGGGGGCTGCTGCCCGTAGCTGCTTTGCTGGCCATAACTGGTCTGCTGGCCATAGGAGCTCTGCTGCCCGTAGCTGCTCTGCTGGGAGTAAGTGCTCTGATCGTAACTGCTCGGCTGTGTGGAGGAATAGCTGCAAGAGAAAAGCGTTGGGAAAGGTGGGATGATGAGGCAATTCCCTGGCAGGCTGGAAGGCAATGCAATTACAGGCTGTATTTAGTGTTGTAAATCACTTTAAAAGCTGAAGTCATCCTACGGAGGCCAGTCTGGAGGGCTGTGAGAGCACAAACCACGTGGCCAATCCTGGTTTATTCACACTTCTAGGAAAAGACACAAGTGCCAGGGCAAAACTCAGTGGTGAGGGAGGTAACAGGGCCTGGATATAAAAGAAGTTCCCCTCATGCAGCTGAGGCTTTGAGGATTTCAAAGTGTGYATTTTAGAAGTCACATTAAAGCCACCTGAGGGGAGGAGGGAGCTCCTGGCCGAACGGTATGGGAAAGGAGGCCTCAAAAGGTCACTCCAGGAAAATGTAAAATTCTCAAGTCTTAAAAGAACAAAAAATAAATCTAGAAAATGTTTTAAACCCATTTGTCATCACTTTCCCTTTCAGGTGTGCACACAGAGACACTTCCATGCTCAGCCACATCCCACCCATCCCCACCACAACAACCACAGCTCCTTTTCCATCAAATCCCTCAGGAAAAGTCCTTTGCCCRAGCACTGCTGAGCCTCACCTGGTCGGAGGGTAGGAGGGAGGAGCGGTGACGGGCTGCATGGGGTAGCTGGCAGGCACCTGGGGRTAGCTGTAGTTGCTCTGGCCATAGCCCAGGCTGGGCTGGCTGTAGCCTGTCGTGCTGGACTGGGGCTGGCTGGTCTCTGCTGGTTTGCTGCCATCCTGGGGTCTGGAATATAGAATAATATTGGTGCCCRGCTCCATACCTGGCAGCAGCAAAAGGCTCAGATCCCCTCAGGAYGGATGGTTGTGACCTATTCTAACACCACAGCTTGTGTTCATCCCAAAGCCATGGGATTCAGGTTCTGAGGCTGAGTGGAGGATGTGGAACGGCACGAAAGCTGCTCCTGGGAAAGCCGGCACTGAAATGCCCCATTGTTTGGTTCAGAACCCAGCTCAGGCAGATAYTGCCTCACAAACTTATCCCAATTATTCCATGCAAGAGAAAGGATGCTGGGCTTCAACTGGTGACCTTTAAAGGTCGCTTCCAACCCAAACCACTCTGATTGTGTGCTCAGAATTAACTCTCAAGGCCTGACAATTAAAAACGCTTTGCATGTGGTTTGCACATCCCCTCCTCTTTGTCTCATAGTTTAAAAGCCGTGTGGATGTGGCACTTGGGGACAGGGTCAGTGTGGCCTCAATGATCTTTTCCAAATCACAGCATTCTATGAGTCTTTAATTTCTAAGTGTTTCTCAGAGTGGAGCAAAAGGTGTGAAGCTGCTTTGGCTGTAGGAGCTGGGAAATATTCACCACATCAGGATTCATTCTGCAAATTTACATCCTTTCGAAGTGTAACTGTCAGAGCTGTGCCAGGCTCTGCCTTTCCCTCCCTCAGTGCTCRTTACAGACACCAGGTAAGCGAATAAATCAGCTCTTACTCACGTCTAAACAAGCTTCCATTATGCATTCTAAACGTTTCATATCCTCTGAGCAAACAATTGCACTCTGTAGATGACAGGCAGCGCCCAGAGGGGTGAGATTTAAAGAGGAAATGTTTTGCAGCCTGTGCATCCACCCCAGCATCCTGCCTGACCCCRTGACTGGGGAGCAGCCAGGCCTTGGTTCTCTGTTGCACCCTGAGAGGCTGATTTGGCTGCGTGGTGGCTCCCTCATCCCGCAGAACAGYGCTGACTCACCGTGCAGGAGCACGGCCCTCCCACGCCACATCCCCCGGCCCAAAGATGCCGGGGATGGGAGGCAGCGRCAGCAGCTCTGCAGCAACAGGCGAGGAGGAGCTGCTGCCCGAGCCATGGGTGCTGGGAGAGCGAGGAGGAAGAGGAGGAGGAGAAAGAGGAAGAGGGGAAGAAGGAGGAGCAGGAGAAGGGGGAAGAAGAGGAGGAGGAGAAAGAGGAGGAGGATAAAGAAGAGATGAAAGAGAAGGAGGAGGAGATGGTGATGGAGGAGGAGATGGAGGAGGAGAAGAAAGTGGAACAAAAGAGGAGGAACAATAGAGGAAAGAGAGGGAAGAGGAGATGGTGCTGGAAAAGGAGAATTAGAAGGAGGAAGAAGAAGGAGAAGGAGGAAGAAGAAAAGGAGAATGAGGGGGAGGAGGAGGGGAAAGATGAGGAGGAGGAAGAGCAGGAGGAAGAAAAGGAGAAGGAGGAGAATGAGAAGGAGCAGGATGAGGAGGAGAAAGAAGAGTTGGAAGAAGAGGAGGAGAAGGAAGAAAAGAATGTGAGGAGAAAAATAAGAAGGAGGAGGAGAAAAAAGAGATGGGAGAAAAGAAGGAAGAAGAGGAGGGTGAAGGGGAGAAGGATGGTGATGAGAAGAAGGAGAATGAAGAGGAATAGGATGAGGAGGAGTATGAGGAGGAGGAGAAAGAAGAGATGAGAGAAGAAGTAGAGGAGGAGGAAGAAGAAGAAGAGCAGAAGGATGGTGATGAGGGAGGAGGAAGAAAGGCAGAAAGATGGTGGTGATGAGGAGGGGGAGTAGAAGGGCAGAAGGATGGTGATGAGGAGGAAGAAGAAGGGCAGAAGGATGGTCATGAAGAGGTGGAAGAAGGGCAGGATGGTCATGAAGAGGAGGAGGAAGAAGGGCAGAAGGACGGTGAGGAGGAGGAGGAGGATGCTGCCGAGCAGCAGTACCTGGCAGGGGCGGCCGGGGCCGGCTGCTGCCCGTAGGCCGGGTAGGCGGGCTGGGTGCCATAGGCGGTGGGCGCGGCGTACGAGCTCTGGCTGCTGGTGACCGTGGCCGTGCTGCTGTCGTAGGCGGTGCTGCCGTAGCCCTGCACGGGCTGGCTGTAGGCGGGGGGCGCGGTCGGGGCGCTGTAACCTGCAACGAACACACCGAGCACACGGCTCAGCCATGGAGCTCCACCAGGAACCTCCACAGCTGGGCCCCGGAGCTCTGCCGGGAACCATGCACGGCTCGGCCCCGGAGCTCCACAGGAACCGCGCAATTCCAGTGTGAGGCGGGTGGGAAGGGAACTTAGAGCTCATGTCACTCCATCCCCCCACCATGGGACACTTGCCACCACCCCAGGCTGCTCCAAGCCCCATTGTCCAGCCTGGCCTTGGACACTGAACGGATCCAGGGGCAGCCACAGTTTCTCTGTGCCACCTACCTACCACACCTCAGCAGCTTCCACCAGCCCACCTGACCTTGCTCTCTGTCCACACGAAGCCATTCTCCCTTYATCCTGTCCCTCCAGACCCTTGTCCCAAGTCCCTCTCCAGCTTTCCCAARTATCTCAGACTTTAGCACTTGTGCYGCTGGTTTCTCAGACCCAGGGCACAGTTTTACCACCACAAACCCACCTTGGATCACCCAAAAATCATCTGTCACCCCATTCTGAGTTCCTCACAGAACCCCCCACCCTGGCAAACGTCAGCATCCCAAAATCCCACTTGCAGGAATGTCAATTCTACTTCCTTGAAGCCGATCATGGACCAGCACCCAGGATTGTTTACAGCAGCCACAGCTCAGGCAGGGCAAGCTGAGACAYGGAGCATCTCCTCGACAAAGGCAGGGAAACAACCCCTCTGGAGCTCCMAAGTAAATGAAATCCCACTGATTTAACAAGTACAGCCCCATCCTTTTAGCTTTTCTGAAAAAGAAAGGCCCAGACCCTGACCTRGGAAGTCTTTCAGAGGCATTTCTGAAGGCTTATTTTAAATCAGCAATGCTGGAAACAAAAGAAAAGCACTTTCCATTTGCTCTCACACGAGAAAAAAAGGTCAAAAGAGACACATCAGGCAGCTCCTGATGTTTTATGTACCTTCCCTTTTCTTAGAATTTCAGTTTGGTTTAGGRAAAAAGCTCAGAGCTCACAGAGTTCCTTTTGAACAGTTTTACAATATCCAAGGTCCCAAAACAGTTCCTGTGTATAATTTAGTGACTGTTTGCCTCGTCACAAAGGTGAACTGGCATTAACACAGTGGGGTTTTGTTCCCAAGAACCTTCTGAGCAAGATTTCAAATTAAAGTTAAGAAACTTAAGGTGGAAAAACAGCAATAAAAACGTTTTTAACAAATCTGACTAAAAAAAAAGGAGCCAAAAGAGCAGCCAGCTGGTCTCAGTCTCATGGCTGGGATCAGTAAAGGTGGCAGCTTCTCCATCACTTCTGATTTTTAACAAACAGGGAGGCTTCTGACACACTTTTCCTTTAGGCAAATTGGGCTGTTTTATTCCAATTCCCTCATTTGCAAAGCAAACAACACCTCTGGCAGCAGAACATGGCGTGCCCTTACCAAGCACCATGGCACTGCCACATCTCCCTGTGCTGCCACGCCAGGGCCCTTCCCAGGGCAGGGGAAAGAGGAGCAGGATGAGGGGAGGAACTTTGCAAAGCAAATTAATTAAAAAAAAAAATAATGTGGCTAAAAACCCCCAAACTAATTTAAAAAAAACCTGGTGACCCCCAGGATCCTGATGAAGACATGTCAGCCTTGCCCACTCCTCCCTTTTCCAACCTGTGCCCATCCCAGGGTTGCCAACCTGGGAATGCAAACCAGACTCCCACTGGGAAATAACTCGTAGGAATTCCTAGAAAATCAATTTTTACTGTTGTTATTCCTGTCTGCTGTTC